ATTAGCATGGCCCCTGCACAAGGATGACACGCGTAAATCGAGAAATGGTCGGGAAATGAAGAAAAAAACACACACTCTCTGACGCGACAACAAACTGGGAGGACAAATAGACGCTCTGTCCAACGTCTTCTTCTTCTTCTTCTTCTTCTTCTTTTTCTTCTTCTTTTTTTTAAACAAATTCGGCCTCGGAGCACCAGGTGGGGTGTACCAGCAGCAAAACTCAATGTCTGCCTGACATACAATTACACGAGTCAGATTACAGCACCTGATGTCACAAGAGTGGGTGTGACGAGACAAGAGATAAAAGAGCAGCACTTTAACTACCAGTGCGATTCCCAATTTCCCAGCCAATTTTGTTCCGACGCGGCTGTCCACTCCACTCGCCGCGGTCACACGGGCTCAGCTTACCAGACCAAAATGGCTGGCGGCACCAGCCAAAATGAAAAAGAATCGTGCGCATGCCGGTTCGTTCTTTTTGCCACACGGCAGCAAGACGGGGTTGGAAAAAAGAGGCTCGGGCGTACTAGTGCTTTGAGAATAATTTGACAAAAAGAAAAGAAAACAAAGAAGCCACGATAGCTGATCGGGGATAAAATTTATTGCACTAGTGTCATTTCAAAGGGGACACACAAGCTGAGACTTTCACGCACATCATTTATCGTCCATGTGGATTTGGGTGTGAAAGCTCACCAGGGTGGCTGTTTCCAATCAGGTTTGACCCCCTTGCACACAACGGAATCAAGCTTGTTATGCAGTCTCCATCCATTGCGAATGCGGCGCACTTCATTGCTGAAGGTGCTTCCTCGACTGGCTATGAAAACAGCGCCCAGCGCACAAATCGTGCGGTCAAGCATTGCTCTTGTCTCTGGATTCTTCCGCTGTGATGCTGTCAAAGCGCTATTCCAGTTGCGCCACGGCAGCTTCTCATTCGCAGGTTTCTGGCGACCTGTCACCGCCATTCCGTCCAGGGTGATGATCATCGAACCCTCCGAACCCCAGCCCGGGTTGGGACGATTCATGAGGGATTGCAATTGGCTGACCTCTTCGGGCGACGCATCCGTCGCAAGAAACAGAATCTCACTCCTACCCTGTGTTTTCGAAGGATGGAGCTGTCTTACTAGACAATCTGCAACCTGGTTGATAGGGAAGTAACAGCCATTCTGGCCGCAGAAATCCATGAAGTCCGATCGACGTAGATGGATGCTCGAGTAGCGGGTGCCCAGGAACGTCCGTATGAAACCGAGTGAAGCCTTAAGGATTCGGTGATTAGGTTGAAGGATGGGCCCTTGGCAAACGCTGTTCCATATCTGATAGCCCTTGATTTGAAGTCTTGCCTCTGGTCCAATCTGCACATCAAATCCATCGCCGATGCTCATGATCTTCTCGTCCACATTAAGCCGGCGGAAGAAATCTTGAGTGCTCTCACCATCCTCTTTGCCTCGCCACTTCTCCACCCTCAGGACCTTAACACCGCTCATCCTCACAAAACGCTCAACCGCTATCTGGCGGAACTTGTGGGGCACCGTAGTGGCGACCTCTCGCATAACGTTGATGTTACCTATGTCTCCTGTTTGATTCCGATACCTGGCCAGAGTTACGATACTCGAATTTCCCAAACACTTTGAAATGCGCGACATGTCAAAAATTTCGTGAAACGAGTACCCCAGCTCATAAAGTGGAAAAATGAGGGTGCGATTGAGAAGCGCCGCGGCCACCAGGTGATTTAGAATGCAGATGGCACGATTTGACATCTTGCCAAACCCACACACCATCATCAAATACCGACCTGGCGTACGAGGGAACGTGTTGATCAGACCCTTGCTGTTCGCCTCTTCCTCGTTACTCAACGACTCCGCCTCGTCGCCGTAATCATACGATTCCACGAAATCGGCTGCAATATCAGGGGCGTTTGCCGGTTGGAGGCTGTTGGTGCTCCCATGTTCCACGACAAACTGTCCAGCACCCACGGCAGGATCGTCAACACCATGCGTTGGCAACTCGCTTTGCTTCGCATCCTGAATCGCTCCATGAGAAGAGGTTGCAGTCCAAGTACTTTTAATACCACGACGAGGGTCATGCCACGTGTATGCCCCTGCTGCCCATTCGGTGGACTCTTCAGGGACAAGTGTATACCTTGCTATGCAGAGCCTGAGAATGAGAAAGGATAACATAACAGAAAATGCAGAAAATGCAACTGCAATAACAGTTCGCAGCCTCATGGAAGTGCGGCTTTTCTTTCTGGTCTGCATGATCAGATGCAACTACCTCTTACACCTCTCAGCATAGCAACTGAACAACCTGCAGTGACAGCCTATTGAGGAGTGAGTGATCGGATATATACTGCTAACATCTGCAGACCAGGCCTTCCTTGACACCTGCAAGACAACAGACTGTGCAAGCATGCCCTCAACGCCTGCAAAATGAAACACTGCCAAAGGACTGTGCGAGCATGCCTCGATGTCTGCAACACGGAAGGCTGGCAAAAGACTCTGCTTCGTATGTGTGTTTGTGTGTGAGAGACAGGTGTGTGTGTGTGTGTGTGTGTTTGTGTGTGTGTGTGTGTGTGTGTGTGTGTGTGTGTGTGTGTGTGTGTGTG